TTGATTGTCATCATAAAAAAGAGGGAGATTGTCGAATCTTGGATTTTGATGATAAAATTGATTGATGTGTTTGTGATCTAATCTACGTTTTGAGTGACGCAGGACTAGTTTCGATTATGAAAGACAATTAAAGCAAGAAGAATCAATGTTGGGTCAGAGTGAAACATATCAGAAGATTGGACGTTGAGCCGGAGGATCGGTCGACGTATCGGCAGAAAACTTCGTGCCATGAGTTCGAGTATCGGGCCTAGAAGAGCGGACATTGCGCCAAGGAGATCAGAGTTACAGAGATCAACATACTGATTAGGTAAAATGCCGCAAAAGAGGACGATGCATCGAAGAATTGGACGAAGCATCGATGAATCAATGACATACCGAAAAACATGTGGTTAATGCTTCGTAATAATTATTTAGATCAAAATAGTTTTAGTTCTAATTGAGTTGGTTTAGAATATAATTAGGCAAACTCAATTAGGCCCAAATGGAGTTATTTTAGGCTAAGAGAAATGCTAATTCACAAACCTAAAAGTTCGGTCAAGTGGTGGCACCACCAAAGACTTAGTCTCCAAGACTGTGTTAGGCGATAGTACTGCCAGATTGGGCAGTGGTACCGCTCAGACATACTCTCCCAGACTATTCAAGCGGTGGTACTACTAGACTGGGCAGTGATACCGCCCAGTGATAGTGCTGCAGGCGATGGTGCCGTCAGGACCCGGGAAACCAAGAATAAGACCTTTTTTACTCCAATTTTGAAGCCACTCGGGGTTTATAAATACCCCAGCTATTCCTACATGGGATAGTAAGAATTGAGCATGAAATTGAGTTGAAAAAAGAGGAAAGAATATTTGAGAAAAATTAGGAAACTCTCTTAGGATTTATGATCACTTCTTCCTAGAATTTAGAAGTTCGTCTAAAGGGAGAAGTGAGGTCTAAGAAAGAGAGGCTTGTAAGGGTTGTCTCTAAACCCGTGAAAAGGAGAAAGAGTATCAAGGGGTAGTTGATCTTTGCCCATTAAAGGATGATCGTTAGTGGATGTCAATGGCCTTGATGGAAGAGGAATCGAGAGTAGATGTAGGTCACAACGATCGAACCACTATAAACTCAGTTTGTAATTCTGTTTTGCTATTTATCTTAATCGCAAACTGTTTTACTTCCTTAAAACTTTAGCTTTAGCTGTACACTCTTACGAACGTGTTTCAAGTTAACATCTTTACGATACGAGTTTTTATCGTACGAAAATTTTTAACTTAACGTAATTTTTATCTCTGCACTAATTCACCCCCCACCCCCTCTCTATGCCGACTCGATCCTAGCATTCACAATATGATATTTTTCATATCAAAAGTTGCGGATGCCCCCAAATTATCACTGGATTTATGAGTTCGACATTCAATTACCATCCATCAACTTGGTTTATATATCCATATATGAACTTTTAATTATCTTTGGCTTTATATTTAATGCATCACATAAAACTCCTAAATCATAGACCAATCATAGCACAAATTAGAAGAATCAAATAAAATAAATTGATTTAGAAAGGTTTGGCTCATCTTAGTACCATATATAGAGGACTCATATAAGTTTAATCCATGGGCTCACTTAGCCGGTCTTTAAGAGAGAGGAAGTATCAAGAGAAGAGACAATGAGTCCCTTTGATGAATGTTGGGTTGACAAATGTCTGTAATTAGATTGAAATTATTTGAAGATTTAGGATTAGAAATTCAAACAGGTCATTGGTGAATTAGGATTTTTGTATCTTTAGATTTCAGATGAGAAAAAGACACAGAGAAAAACATTTTAAGTGCTCCTAAATTTTTTTTTCTAGTAGATTTGGAAAGGTTCGAGAGTTTCTTTGAGATACATGATTTCGATGCTTGGATTTCCGAGTGACCGTAACATGCGTTGACTTGTGACATGAGAGGGTGGATGAGATGTACTGCGCAGTACACTGTTCCACATTCATCATGAAGGTCAAGCCACCTTCAGATTCAATATTCCATGACTGTGTTTGTGTCCTAATATTTCTTCCACTTCCTTTCTCCGTCGAAGACAAGTCTATACTGATCACGGAAGAATCTTATCACATTTCTATGCAAGTACCTTTCGTCTTCTTGCTAAAGAAGAAGTATCTGTTGTCCTGCAACAATCGACCATTGCTGCTTTGTTCCTTTGGATTCTTGGGTGCTGGTGACTTGTTCTTCCATGAATCATCACCTTCTTTATCATCATTGTGAGAACCTAATTGCAAAGGCATGTCACTTCATGGAGTTTTGGCAGATACCCACTTATCTTCATCTGATTGAAACAAGGTTTAGGTATGACAGAAGAAAGTAGCTGCCTCTTCCTACCTAACAAAAGAAAAGGAAGATGAGCATCGGGCACACCTAATCTCCTTGCTCATGTTTTTTGACATCAACAAGGAATGTCAAGATAAGGTGAGCTAGATTCCTGTCGGCTGAATAAATGAGGATAGATAATACCAGCAAGACGAGCATAATCCTGCGTGAAGAAACTGTTGCTGAAACATCCGTCTGTTAAAACTCTGATTCCTCCATCATCGGAGGAGAAAGTTGTAAGCGAATGGAGTGTGATCTTAGAACTCTTAGGAAGGATAATCTAATTCTTTCCTTCTTTCTCATTCTTCTTCTTCTATCTAAATGAAGAATAATCTAATTCTTTCCTCAGATTTCTAACATCTACCTTGGCTGGACATGGAGGAGCTTTGTTCGTCGTTTTCCCCAGCGGATAGGCTTTGAACTCATTTCACATCATTCTCGTCATCATATCTACCGAGGAAGGGAGGGGGAGGATGAAGCCGGGCGTCCTCAGCACTTACCGACCTGTCTTTTGTCGCGCCCGCGTGGCCCATAGGAAGGCGACAAAATGTCCATCACCATGCGGGACCCGAGGCTTTGCCATTGGCTGATAGACGCGTGGCGTTTGGTACGCGTCCCATTGTCGGAGAATTGACTCACCGTGGCTGGCGCCTTTGTCGCGTAGCTGTCAAAAGCAGCCAACGAAGGGAACATTAAATAAAGAGAAGACAGCACTTCCCGGCGCACGTTAGCGAGGCCGGCGCACGAGGTCGGACGGTGGTCGCCTCGTAGTACGTATGTGGCTCTGCAAATGATCTCCAGTGGTTGAATTGGACTGGTGCCTGAGATATTAGGCTTCTGTAGAAGCTTACTTGGTGTGGGGACAGCAAGGAGCAGCTCTTAAATGGATGGATGGATGAATGGATAGATACTATACGTCTCTCGATCTAATCGAACACGTCTTTATCTGCTTAGCGTTACACGGCAAGCTGTCGTTAGCTGCCCCCATGACACAGCTCATAGTGTGAACATAAAACTTGAAGCTAGACAACAAGTCTTTCTTGTCAAAGCCGGTGCTGTGGCTTGCTGTCTCCATCATGCCATGCCATAAAGCTGGGCTTCTTTGAATAAAGCCATGAAACAAGTGAACAGTTGGTATCAGAAGCAGCTTCCAACTTTGCCAAAGCACCAAACTCCAACCATCGAAGAATTAACTAAGAGCGCGGACACGCACCATGACCAATATAGGCTGTCAATGAGTCTTCCTTCTCACCAAGAAGGACACTGTGACCGGGTCCAGCTGACCTTATACTGCTTCTTACAATCCTGTAATGGAGGGAGACTGTGCCAATAGCTATCACTGCCGAGGGAGGAGGCTTTAGCTTGTGGGTTGCAGGTGTGACCAGGGAGAATGGTGCAGCAGTTACCAGGAACTGTGTATGATTGGCATGCGATGCGTCCTCATTGATTTGTCTTTGTCTCATTGAGGGGGTGATCCATGGAAATATATAGTGTGCCGTCTATCCAAGTTCTCCATGATAATGCATAAAGAGCTGCTTAGTTTTCAGGAATGATAGTTTAGTAGCTTGTGATCCACAGAGTCCTGTGAATCTTTGATCTTTCAAAGCTTATTATGGTGACGTTTAAGAACAGCAATCAAAACTTCATCTTGCCGACCAATCTGATATATGTCACCGCTTGATTCATCATCGAGTCACTTCACTGTCAATTTAACATATACAGCCTTCATGTCTTTGATGAGCCACATGGATCGACAACTGGAAGCAATTTTTCTTCCAGGGTTGGACGTCAAGGTGAAAGCAACATTCGATGAATCCTCGAAGTCATTCCACAGTCTGACCGAAGCAAGTCACCCCACGCTCCAGTAAGCTTCCAATGGCCATTCCATCATGGTCTTAGGCGACGACAAAAGACTAATAATTGTGCACCATTAGAGCTGTCTTCCACGAACGGTGAAGTTTTCTGTGATTTTATTGGGCATTTATTGGTATATAGATGCATCCTGTTGTCAACAAATATTACTGCTCAAGAATCAAAGATCAAATAAGCTGCATTCAAGAAAAAGAGATCTAATTATAAGCTGCTGTGATGACCACAGGAGCAGTACCATATGGGAACATTTACGAGAACAGGAATCCGAATCAAAAGCTCATACCATTCGTCAAGGTTAGAAAAATACGTCCAAGTCATCTGAAGAGTCCAATTTGGGACACCTATCAAATCCAAATCAAGATCCTGTGCTCGGGGCTCAATCAGGCAAACACCACTCGACGACCTGAAATCAATATTAAAATTGACAGTAATGATATGTAAATGAATGTATATTAGCGGAAAAAAAATTACTGGTTTCCATGGAGAAGGTGGTCAGTGGCATTGTTGTAAATGTAGTGAAATGACGAGGGCAATCCCAGAAGGAAGCACGGGTTCTGCGAGTCATTCGGATCGGCGAGGAATGGACGACGACGTGGCATCGAGAATTCCGTTATCCGACCAAATGATCGGTGCTGGAGTCCACGACACGCGTCGATCAGAAACTTCCTCTTGTAAGATATAGCGTCAAATGTTACAAACACCTGATCCTCGTCGCCTTGCTTTTCCACCCACTCCGACGACGATATTAACATCAGAAATAAACTAATAATTGTCGAAATTGGTTTTCTTTTCTCTCTCTTCTCTTCTCCACTGAAGAGAAGGAAAGCTCAGCTCGTATTATAATATACGAGATCCGAGGAGGAGCGAAATCGACAGTGCGGATAGGCTCTCTCCTTCGGTCGCCTAAGAATACGGGCGAGGAGAGTCCAAGTTTGGCTGTGGGGCGAGAAGCGGAAGCGGAAAGATTGCATCTTGGGTTGGTTTCTCTGTCGAATAGATTCTGGTGATTTTTGTTCGTTTGAGTTATTGGTCTGAAATTTTGTGGTTTCTTTTGGCAAGTTGGGGTTCGGGAGAGGAGACTTGGTGAAAATTGTAATAGCTTTGGTGGAAAAGACGGACATGAACTTGGTTCAGTCGGGTTCCGTAGTAGTAGGGTTTTGAGTTGAGGGAATTGGTTGAGATCGGACGGAGTTATATTTTTATTTTCTTTTACCTTTTTCTGGTTGGATTTTCTTAGAGACTTCGGTTAATGAATATAGGTCGGACTTTTGAGGGTTTTGCTGCTGCTTTTGACCGACTTTGAGAGGAGAAGATATTTCTTGGTGCTCTATCCTGTGCCGGCAATTTCTTCGTTCTCCAATCGCATCAGTTGTACTCGAAAGGATGGTGAGCGGTCTGACGCCAGATTTCTTCACGGTGTAGAGTTTTAGGTTTTCTGTTTCATTTCTGTATCAAAATCCCGCCTTGTGTGAAGTGGTCTAAATCTTTTAGGTTCATGGTGCTTTCGTCTCCTTTTTGATTCCTTATACTGATTCCTCGTTGTCTTGTCTCAGGAACGAAACTTATGGAGGATATGAAGAATTGCCTTGCGTGAAAGGTGAGAGGTTTCGTAAAAATTTCTGCTGTTCTTGGGAAAAAGTTTTAGATGATGAAGGCAATTTTCTTTCCCAATTTTATTTACCAGAAAATCGGCTCTTTTCGCAGCATTCTTGAAAGACTAACTAGAATTGCCCTTGCCCGTGATCGTGTTCGACGAAGCCATGAAAGGATCATCGATGAAGGACACTGACAAGTGCCTGGACTCCCAGCTCTGGCATGCTTGTGCCGGTGGGATGGTTCGGATGCCGGCCATGAACTCCAGGGTCTACTACTTCCCCCAGGGTCATGCAGAACATTCCCAAGGGGTTGTGGACTTTGGGAATCTGCAGCGGATTCCACCTTTCATACTCTGCCAAGTTACCACAGTCAAGTTCATGGCTGATCTGGAAACGGACGAGGTCTTTGCCAAGATCCGGATGGCCCCCATCAGGAGTGGCATCCCGGACTCAATCGAAGATGAAGGATTGGTTCCGGAGATGAACGAAATCGATGTGCATGAGAAGCCCACTTCTTTTGCCAAGACATTGACCCAATCGGATGCAAACAATGGTGGTGGATTTTCTGTTCCTCGCTACTGTGCGGAGACCATCTTCCCCAGGTTGGACTACACAGCAGACCCTCCTGTGCAGAATGTAATCGCAAAGGATGTACATGGCAAGGTGTGGAAGTTTAGACATATATACAGGGGGACACCTCGCCGACACCTGCTCACCACCGGATGGAGTAACTTTGTAAACCAGAAGAAACTTGTGGCTGGGGATTCCATCGTGTTCCTTAGAGCAGAGAATGGGGACCTCTGTGTTGGTATACGGCGTGCCAAAAGAGGTGGGGTTGGCGATAGCCCAGCGACGCAATCAGCATGGAGTCCCCAGGGCAGAAATGGTGCGTCCAGCTATGGTGGCTTATCTGCCGTCCTGACGGAGGAAGAGAGCAAATTGATGAGAGGTAATGACAGTCATTCTGTATTCAGCCGAGGTATAAGGGGAAGGGGCCAAGTGAGGTCAGACTCTGTCGTTGAGGCAGCAACACATGCAGCAAATGGGCAGCCTTTTGAGGTTGTGTACTACCCTAGAGCCAGTACGCCGGAATTTTGTGTAAAGGCCGCAGCTGTAAAAGCAGCACTGAGGATCCAGTGGTATCCAGGGATGAGATTTAAGATGGCTTTTGAAACTGAGGATTCATCAAGGATTAGTTGGTTCATGGGAACTATATCTTCAGTTCAGGTTGCAGATCCCATAAGATGGCCTAATTCGCCATGGAGACTTCTTCAGGTATCATCTTTATTCAGCATGCATTTCTCTTGTGAGCAAAATGTGCAGTCTTTTAGGTTTTATGTTGTTTATTTGTTTATCTTTTCTTCTTTTTTTCAACTTCAATTATCAAATGTGTGCTTTAGTACTTTCCGATTGAGATCATCCATGTTGATACATCAGAATCCAACTCAAAATACAGTTGGCATGTCTTATTCTTTTTTCTCTTCAGTTTCACTATCATTTCACTTATATGTGTTTTGTTGTGGCTTTTTTTTTTTGGTTATGAAGTTGTTGTGAAGAAATACTTGAGGAACATCTCAGGATGAACTTTTACCACATCGGACATGTGGGAAGATTATTTTTTTGCAAAGGGTAAGTGGCGAAAGTGGGAATCGAGCCTACGATCTTGTGATAAACTATTAAGATCTTTACTATCTAAGTTGACACTTTCACATGTGGGAAGACTTGACTTAGCTTATAAGAGCCAGATGAATATACTACTATTAACTTGGCTCGAGTATTTTTGGTCAGCGGGTTAAGAATGACTGAGTTATCTGTCTCAGTGGACTGTGTTGTGACAAATGGAACCATATCAGATCTAGTATTGGATACTACAATGAAGGGTCCTAGTACGAAAAGACTATCTGTAATCTTTGATTAGGACAGTATTAAATTAGGATTTGATATTTTGGACCAATGGTTCAACTCATCAAGTTGCTGGGTCAATTGTCCCATTGGATAGAATCATATGACATTGGTGATGCAGTTGATTGTAATTCTTGATGTATATAATTGCAGGGACTAGTATAAGATTTTGGCAATCATTTTGTCCTATAATATCATTACTCTTACTATTTTTATTATATGATGATGTTATATTATTGACGTTAACAGCAATACAAAAATGACCTGCTTTATTTCATTTTCAACTCTATGGTTTTGTTGGAGTCAAAGAATAAGGCTTCTCTCTTTGGAAAACGTTGTGCTTATAATTTGAAGTGTCTGTCTCTTGTCGATAGGCCATGTTGCTTATATGAGTGTGAACACTGATGCAGGCCTGGATGGTTGTTAGAATAAGCATGCAGGATTAGTTACATACTCCTGTAACTAATCCTAGTTCATACTCCTGAAAGTTGTATTAGTTTCACTATCTGCAATATATTGGTATTAGGAAATGCATTTTTTCACAACAACCTAGAAGCAATACTTTTAAATTTTGACTATGAAAGAACTGATCTTAACTTAGAAGTTTCTTTCTGGTGAAGTGCAAATTTCTTTTTGGCAGAGACAATTGTAAACTCTCATTAATCAATGGGTTTGAACTTTGCTGAATTATTAACATCTCTGCTCATTTAACAAAGGGAAAATAGAATTCCTTTATGGTTGTCTATTTGCTGACTATCCAAGGGAAAATATGAGTCCTAGTAGTGACATGGACAACTTTGATTCCCTCTTCTATCACAAATATGGCTTCCTTAAACCCTGAAGTTGTGCTTGCGTGTTCTGTCAATCAATTGATGCTCATTGAATCTGCATGCCAAAAGTGACTCTATCGCATGATAGTTTAACAACTCTTTGTTTTTTTCTTCTTAATGCCTTTCTACCCAAGTTTCCTTCTGTTTTTTTTCATTTGAGAATGCTAATTATCCATTGAAATGGTTTTATAGGTGACATGGGATGAACCAGACCTCTTACAGAATGTCAAGCGTGTGAACCCATGGCTAGTTGAACTGGCTTCAAACATGCCAGCCATAAATCTTGGACATCTCCCACCACCCATAAAAAAGCAACGCGTTCTCCAGCAACCTCCATTTGAAGGTCAATTTCCAGTACCAATGGTCTCTGGAACCCCCTCCGTCCCAAGGGGCAGCCCCTATTGCTGCTTCTCTGACAGCGCTCCTGCAGGCATACAGGGAGCCAGGCATGCACAATTTGATATATCTTTATCAGATCTCCACCTTAATAAACTGCAGACGGGTTTGTTCCATGCTGGGTTTCACCGGCTTGATCATGCCACTCCACCCTCAAGGATTTCCACGGGTGTTATTGTTGGCAATCCCACTATTCATGACAAGGTATCATGTTTGCTTACAAGCGGTCATCCTTCTCAGGGCCTGAATAAATCATGTAACAGAAAACTGCCACAGTTGGTGCTATTTGGCCAGCCAATACTGACTGAACAACAGATTTCGTTGTGCAAATCTGAGACTATGATCTTCGATGATGTTACTGGAACCAGCTCATCAGATGGGAATCTCGAGAAGGCAACAAATGTTTCTGATGGTTCTGGATTTGCAATAAATCATAAGGGCCCTCTTGAAGCATTCGCTCATCGCAGGGATCATCGAGCTTTGGAGCTTATTATCGAGGCTGAGCACTGTAAGGTATTTATGGAATCAGAGGATGTTGGTCATAGCCTTGACCTCTCTGTCTTTGGCTCATATGAAGAACTATACGAGAGGCTTGGTGATATGTTTGGAATTGAAAAATCAGAGATGATAACCCATATGTTTTACAAGGATGCAGCTGGTGCACTTAAACACGCTGGAGATGAACCTTTCAGGTGAGCTTCTTGATTGCAGTCTTCACCATTTTCAGAAAGCAAATTCCTTTCCTCATGTCACTGCAAGATGCCACTTACTCATGCCTGCAGTCCTTTAGATGATATTTGGAGTTCCCTAAATGTTTTTGACTCATTTTCTTCCTGACTGACTCCAGCCTTTTTACGTCATATTTTCTTGTGTTGCAGTAACTTCATGAAGACAGCCAGAAGACTGACTATATTAACCGATTCAGGAAACGCAACTCAGCAGGGTAGGGAAAGTCTCTTGCCGATTGTATAGTTGAACAGACCTCTTCTCAAAGTACCAACATCATAGGCACGCCATTCTTGGATGCTGTTTTTTCAATGATTCCAAAGCCATTTTTCTGTATAAAGTCAGTTCCCAGTATGAACTTTTCAATTGGAGACAAATTATTATCAACTTTAGCAAAATGGTTGGTCGATTCTCTGACTGAGAGAGTTGATGACGAGTTCTTATAGTTTTAGCTGGCCTACGACTTTTTTTTTTTGTTGTGCAGAGAGATGAAAACATGAAGTTTTATACTTGGTTAGTGTAAATTTAGTCAACTCAAAATAGTTGGCGTTGAGCTGGAATGCTAGTTGGCCATAATGTTGCTGAAAAGAATGCAGATTCTGCAGATTTCATTAGCTCATTATAATTATCCCAGTTCCATGTCAGTATCACATGGATCATTTTTTGAGACTTGGAAACACTGAAGACTGGAATCCAGGTTCTACTGCTGCTCACTGCCCAGGGTGTTACGAATTCAGATGATTGATGACTAATTGGCATATTTCTCATTGCATTAGTTTTTAGCAGCCATCACCACTGCCTGAATCAACTGAAGAGAGGCTTGGAAGCTGCAGTAGAAGATTTTCAATGCTTAAGAAGCTGCCATTCATCCAAGTTGAGTTCATGCTTCAATAACCATCATATTTTTTTGTCAAGAAGGTATGTAGATCCTTGTCCCACCACACTTGCGTTCTGTGACAGAGAAGTGGAGTATTAAACACACAAGCAGTATGTTCCAAATATGAACTGTTTCATTGGTGCAAGTCTCAACAACAGAGTTCTCAACTCCTGGAAAAGTGAGATTTGTTGAAAGAAATGTTCCAGCAAACTATGTAGGAAAGATATCTGATTCAACTAGATATGCCCCATCTCACCTTTGCCTTCTTTGTTTGTGGTCTTCCATACCCATCTTTTATCTTCACTGGCATAATTGCTGACTCTGCTATTGTATTAGTATGGTTATAAGTCACAGATCTATTAAATGATGGTGTTCATCACTCCTAATTGAGACCAGTCTATTTTCCATTCTCTCTTCCACTACATCATAAACAGAGTAGGATTGAATCTTTGATGACATGCCACCATAGATGAGATTAAGTCTGTACCGCAAATGAAATGACAAAAGCTATTTTGTGAGGATCAAGTCACATCAGGATTTGTCATCTTACATGATTGGACCAATCATGCTAAATAGCATCAGGTGCCAAATTGCTTAGAACCAGAGCCAGATTGTGACCAGGAAAATAGCTATCAATTTCACTCTATCCAATTATACTAAATTCTTGGGACACATTCAGCATCTATTGGTTGATCTCTGGTCATGATAAACACAAGATGGTCCTAAAATAAAATCATTCTACTCTACATTTGCTGTATAGCATGTTGTTTGATCTAAAGAACCATCCAAAACAGAGACTGACAAAAATACATTACTGCTGCAATACGAGACTGCCCAGCCTTTGCTCTGATCTGCTCAAGGTTGACTCTACTGCAATACTACGACTACATTGTCAAGGACATGCAGCTCATCAAGAGAAGAATCACAAGCAAAGCTTCCAGTTGCCAAGCAACATAAAGATCTACATCAACTGAAGGCCTTGAGATGCCACCATCTGTTCTTCTTCTTGCTGGTTCACTTGTCCGAAAGGCTCTGGTATGAAACTGACTCTGGAAAAGAACGAACCATTTGATTGGACGACCATTTCAGAAAGTGTGGAAAGTAACGTTCTACTGTGGGGAAGAAGGTTGAGTGTGATCAGAGGCCAAGACATGAAAGAAAAGGTGAACTGAGAGAGAATTCTCCTCTACAGTCCATTGATGGAGACTTGATCTAACATGTGACTGTTGTGCCAACAATGTGTACAGAAACAGTTGGTCATATTGACTTATGAGACTTGGACATGACAGCCTTAACAAGTGATGCATTGAGAACATGGATTCACAGTAGACTCCAGCGTTGTTTACCGTCCTTTTTAACAGTACAAGAGACAAGCATGCATCCATGTCCATAACTTCCATCTCTTTCGTCTTCCATTGCAATCACGAGCACTGCATTCTCTGTGGCAGGAGAATACATAGCTAGATGTAGAAAGACAACCTTCGTGATCTAGGTATTTTGTTTCGACACAAGTTTGGGAAGGGAGAGGAAGACACAGTTACTAACACCCTCCTCCCTTCTCATGCAAGAATCTGCTTTACCTTTCCCTATAAATCCACCATTTTGGCAGCTGCCAACATCACAAAAGTCAATGGAGGATGACAGAAGGCAACACCAGTGTCTAAAAAAGTATGAAGTTGTTCTTAAACAGGTGCTTTCCTTGGAATGTCACAGCTTCTTTCTCCTCTCCCTAACAATCTTCTTTTGTTTTTCTCTTTTATCTTCATGGACTTGTCTTAGTTCAATAAGACAATGAGTTGTTACCATCTTTATCATCTGCTCAGTTGACTGGATTTTTGGTCATAGAGTGGAAAAGGCAAGAAAAAGGAGAGGAAAAGTTCACTTGCTAGAAACTAATTTTTAGATTCATTTTTAGGATTCAATTTTACAGATCAACATGTTACTTTGCATCAGTCAACAACCATGGCAGTTCTTAGCTTTAGAGATTCTTGATTTGCTGCTTCATTGAAGGCCAAATCATTGCTTATGTTCATGATGTCTCACAGCAGCCAAAAAGAAAGAAAGAAAGAAAGAACAAGTCTATTGATTGATCGAGTCTTGATCTTAAGCTGAGATACAATTTCCAACAATACAGTTTTGTGATTTGTCCAAGGGATTTGTTTCTGACTACAATCATGCCAAGCTGATGTTGCTTAATTCCATGTGAGCTTTCAGTTTGATGAGCTAGTTGACATGGTGGATGGAACTACAAAGCCACACAAGAAACGCAAACAATCCATGGTGGGTCACATGTTTGGTGATTTATATGTCATTATTTCATGCATGAAATGCAGATTTGATTGAGCAAAGCGAGCAGCATTCTGATGATATTACTATGCAGATGTTCCTCATTTGATACCAACATATCAAATGCATTTCTTCTACCTGCTTACTTTCTTTAGAGCACATATTCCTCCACTCTGTTCATCGACATGATTGAATGAGGCATTCTGCTTGACTACCAAAAGAATTCATAGCTTCATCATTAGAGATTCAACTCTTAGAAAAGACTGGAGTATGCCATCATCAAGTGGAAAACAAACCAAATTTCTGCTAAGCAGAAATTACTGACTACCAAACAATTCTCATGAATCTTTTTTTCTTTCTTATTTCTCTGAAAGTAATGCTATGAAGGATCACATCTCAGATAAATGGAGGTTTGGCAATTAATTTTCCTTGGCTTTCATTCTTGTAGGTCTCCGAAGGGGAGAAAGCGACTACAGTACGGCAAACACACCTCAACGAAGTACTTGTAGAAACCATAACAAGATTCCTACATGACTTGGACACAGACTCTTAAACCGACGCTCGAAGTATGTATGTGGTGAGTAAAAAGGTTATTTCTGTGACTCGAACATTGAATACCGACAAGAAATCGATGAAGTAAAGAGGTTATTTCTGTGACTCGAATCTCCAACACCAAAAAGAAATGGATGTCATGCAAGCATAATCCATATCCAATCTAACACCATTTAGGTAGGATGTTCGACTCAGGTTGTTGGATCAGGACAGAATCCAGCAGAGCACTTCGTGGAGATGCCTGCTGTGATTCTGCTGTCAGCGAGTCTTAAATGGCTGCTTAGATGAGTGGCAACAACAACAACTAGTAGTAGCAGTACTACACTCCCCACCATGCCTATCCTAAAAGCATCTGTCCCCCACACTCCATGGCCTCTCTTAGAGATCCCTTTCTTGTCATGAACATGAGCTGCAGGAGAAGATGTTGCTTGTTGGGGATGCACGACTACCCGATCATGGATAGATAGAGAGATAGAGATTGAGAGTGATATAGAGGTAGAGAGAGAGAGAGAGAGAGAGAGACTGAGAGAAGGATCTAAGGAGAATTATTTGCTTGATACGTTTGCCTAGCAGCTACCATGTCAAATTCATCTTAAGGTGTTCGTTAAAAGGTCAAATCGATCGAGGAGTTGATGCTTTTAAGGTGGTGTCATAAGTTTTCTTGGATTTCATTGAGCCATGCACACTGGAATCTCTTCGACATAAAGGCTTTCAGCTCAAAAATTAAAATGAAGATTACACGAGTCTGGATGTGTTATTTCTCCGTAAGGAAACACCAATGTACAAGACAAGAATGAGTTTGGTGTTATAGTCAAAATATTAGGTAATTATAGATTATCCTATATAGTTAACTATGGTCAGCATCCTAGTCTCTAAGTCCCTATACTTATGAAGATGAAATATTTAATCTTAATTTTTTTTACATCGTTAACTTCGTTAACGGAAAAATTTGTAAGTGTTGTTACATGTAAAAAAAATATGAATGAAAAGGATAAAAATATAATTTATTATTTTTAAATTATTAATATTATTATTATTATTATTATTATTATAATATATATATATATATATATATATATATATATATATATATATATATATATATCTTGCCATAATCGATTTCTCTTCTTTTCCTCTTTCCGACCTACTTGCTCGTTGCTTGCCCACCACATCCGCTTGATCTTCATCACTCCTGCATCGCTCGATAGCTATCGCACCTACAACACTCGCTACTGCCAAACCTGCGCTTCTCGATCGTCGTCGCACCTGCACTGCTCTACTGTTGTCACACCTGCAACACTCATTGTCGCCACACCTGCACTCCTCAACTACTACCGCACTTGCACTGCTCGACCACCACTCCAACATCGCTCGACTGCCACCACACATGCATTGCTTGATTGCCTCTCTTGCACCACTCATCGTCGTCGCACCGGACCCGCTTCACCGTCGCTGTTCTTGCATCACTCGCCACACCGGACCTAGCTCGTCTACTGCACCTGCTTGCCCATCACTTGTCCGCTACACAATTAGCCATGTTTGTTGTGATGTCGGAGGAGGCTAGTGAGTCGATTCTAGAGCTTTTGGAGTTTGTCACGAGCAAAGTCGAGGACAAGACAAAGGTGTAGTTGATCGACAATGGAGGGCCGGGGAGCTTTCTATTGTGCACGAGGACGATGATTTTGGAGTCTTGCAAGCATATGCTAAGGTTGTTTGGGTTCATGCTTAGGGATAATTGGGTTTCCACCATCACTAGTTCATTTATTTGCTTTTGCTTCTCCTTGCATATTCACTTAGTTGAATTTATACATTGGCATCAAATTATTTTATAGATTCCACACAATATTGTTTTATTAGATTCCACATCAAATTGCTAATTATTTTTCATAATGTTCAGTCTACACAGATGAACTATGTGATCACAGAGAGATTTCCTCAACTGCATAGCATATGAGAGATTTTCTCAACTACATAGCAGATGAGATTTCCTTAATTGCATGAGGAAATCTCGCTGGTCAGTTGAGAAAAATCATCTCTTTCACTATGTATAAATAGACATTATATGACACTAATTAAGATGTGCTTTCTCTTTACCTTTACAATTTCACTCTTCATTCTATCACTTTATCATGGTATCAGAGCAGTAAAAAGAGAGGTGCAAACCTCTGCCTCCGGCCAGCGACCATCGCCGCTGCAGCCACATTCCCAAGCGAGACTCTACGGCTAGTCCTCATCTTTCTCACCGCGGTAGTCTTCGCTGATCTACCATAACAATCTGTAAACTTGAGGAGATCCAAGGGGATGCCTGTGCCCTCAATAGTCTGCACGTTGGGCAGTCCGGTGCTCTCCTCTGCATATACGTACAGCTGTGCCATGCACAGCACCACGTGGATCGCTGCTGCGTACACGAACTCAAGCTACCGCAGTCACCCACCTCTCACCTCCCACCTTCCACCTCTGCAAGCGCCCTGTCATTGAATCGTTGCTCCAGACCTGATCTGCTTCTGCGCACTGG